CACGAGGCCTTTTGGGAGCTCACTGGCTTCAGAGTCATGAGAACTCCGAAATTAAGCGAGTTAGGGGCTAGAGCAATCCTAGGATGGGTGACTCACTGGGAAGTTGCTCGTGAGCTCCCAAAAACAAAACCGTGAGGGCAGAGAGGGGGGCCCAAAGCGGACAATATCGTGCTACGGCGAAGCTGATCCTGGGATGTGACACGCTGCTTCCCTGGCCCATAACTCCTTATGAAAGCAATGGCCTCCCAGCTTCCATTTCCGATGCCGTGCATGGGGCTGCAAGGTCACTTGCAGTAACGGCATTCTCGCAGTTAAAGGGCACTTGGAGAATCCTTAACAAGGTCATGTGGAGACCCGATAAGAGGAAACTTCCGAGCATCATCTTGGTATGTTGTTTACTTCACAATATAAGAATTGACAGTGGAGATATATTTCCGATGCCACGTTTTCAAATTCAATACCTTTGCCCTCTTTGCTCTTTTCAGTAATCTCCACCTTCCTCTTCAGGTCTTCCACGATTATTTGAAGGTTTGTCAACTTTTGTACTTCAGAATCAAGTCTTTCTAGAATCCTTCTCTTGTTGCCTTCTTGACGGGGCTCTATAAATCTCTTAGAGATCTCTAATTTGTCCACCCAATTCCTTCTCAACCAATGATTCTGAAGAGGAATATTTATTCTTGTGTTCCTTTACTGCTTCATTCTGACTGTGGTCAGTTGGTACAGCATCCACCTTTTGGCCCGTGCCAACCATCAAATCAATGCTGGCATCCTGGTCAATGCTTTCCCACAACTCAAGCATCTAACCATCAGCCTTTATGGTGTCTCTTCTGCTTATCCCCAATGTAGATAGAAACCAGCTTACTTTCCATATGGCGTTTGCAAGCACATGCTTCTCAAGTGCTGTTGCACACTCCTTCAAAAAGATGATAGATGGAATATAGGCAGCCAACTGATCTTGTAGCCCTGATAAACGAAAATCAGGGGGGGGAAAAAAGAAAAGAAAAAAAAAAAGATGCCAGAAACAATTAAACCACAGAAAAAACACTGTCAGCGGGTCATCAAACGCCATAGAAAGGCAACTTGCTCCACTTCAGATGGTACCAAGAAAATAAATAGTGATGCAGGAGCTCGCGTGAGTGACTATGATGTCAGTAAGTTTGTTCATGTGGACTTTGAGAATGGTGCAAAAACTACTCACAGAAAATCTAAGGTTTCTAATTCAACATTACATCTCACCCAGCTGCAATGGCACCACAGTCAATATGATTCGATTGGTGTGTGCTTTCTTTCATCAGATTTCAACAAATAGTGCTGACAAGAAAATTCATAGCTCTTGAATCTCATATTTTGAAAGTTATTCATTTGTAGTAATTTTCCAAGAGGAAGCTTGGTTTGACTC